ACACACACACACACACACACACACACACACACACACACACACACACACACACCTCTTAAGCTGCTGCTAATGACTCTGCCATGACTTTTCCAGTTCACTTGACATATAAGGTGCTACATAGTGTCGCTGAACCTGTGTAGTGTTTGTAGAGTGGGGGCCTGTGACTGTGCGAGTACTATATGCACTAACAGCTGCTGTGGTAGAGGGTGATAGGCAGGGTGCTAAAGAGACAGATAGTTGTTGAAAGGTAGGAGGGGGAGATGTGTAAGCTGATGAAATGCAGGATAATCTTAGCCCTGGGCAAGTACATGGTGATTTGCAGTATGTGAGTGCGGTTATGTGTGTGTGTGTGTGTGTGTGTGTGTGAGAGAGTGTGAGTGGAGGGGTGATCAAAACCTGACTTAACAAAACTCATTGCTTGCGTATGCGTCTTTATGTGCATGAGTGTCTAAAATGAGTTTAATGAAAAGTTCAGGTTTCCCTTTAGATCGTCATATGAGACAATCCATCTCAGCACTGGACCGCATGTACTGTCTGACAGGTCTTGGAAATGCTGGCTGTGTTCATTAGCTTGCAACCAGAGGCTTATATAGTGCAGGCCTCTCCAAAGCCAAACAGTAGCAACCTGTCCAGCCTCAGAATCAATATGTAGTTTGGCTTTCCAGCAGAAACCCGTGTCCTTTGAAAAACCTGTAATACTAAAGCAAGACGTATCCGCGGCTTCCTCGCTCCACAAACATCCCAGTGTGCCGACCGCTGGTTGGTGGGTCTGCATGTAATTATGTCTCCGTCTGCTCCGCTCTGCCGCGTCTTACCTCTGAGGCAAAGGAAGGTGAGGAAGTCCTCCGTCTTGGGCTTGCGTCTGGACAGGTCCTGAACGGACAAGGAAAGGGATGATGAGGAGAGCGATGACAGAGACGTTGAGGGCACAGTGGCCAGCGCGGTGTTCGGGATGCCTGGGTCGGCCACCTTGACGGGAGTGGTGCTGGGCGAGTTGGGCTGCGACTGGGCAAACTTCCTCTGGGCCTGGAGACGAGGTCTGAGAGGAAAAGGAAAGAAAGAGAGAGAAAGGAGAGAGTGAGTAACCGATATGTATTACCACGATAAAGAGACAGCCATGACCGCTGAAGATAATGGGAAAGTTAATACATTTTATCAGATTTTAAAAAGATATGCACCACAGGACTTAAATCGCATTGTATTTGATTGTTTGAAATCAATCATACATTGGTAAAAATCATGCAGATACCCCTACATTAGCACAGTGTAGTCTTGGTATCATACACCCGGTAGGTAGAGACGATATCATTCATCAGCGGAATACAAAGTAGTATGCGGCCGATTAAAATCACACTTTTGCTTTTTTACATGCACGAACACACGTACTCCCTTGTCATTTTCATTACCGTGCCCCGGCGGCCATTGTCTCACTGTGGAGCGGATCGCTGAAACAATCGCCTCGTAGTGAAGAATTGATCACCTTTGTGTATGAGCATTCCTTCAGAGAGGTGTTGACACAAAAACACACACGTGGTAACCACATGAAAGCACTGAGTGAAAGATAATTAAGCTGCCAGACAAGAAGTTCCTTCATTTCTCTATATGTCTCCCTTTCTTTTTACTTCCTTCTCACCTTCCCACCATTATATTTTCTACTTTTTCCTTTTAGTTGCACTTATTATCCTCTGTGGTGCACACACAAAGCCTTTGAGATGTCGCTCTCATTTTTCTCTCTGCTTGTCTCTTTTCTCTCTCTCTGTTTCACAGTGTGTGTCAGTGGAGGCCAGGGAAGGAGGAGAATATTAAAGAAGTGGGTGTCTGAGAGAAAGTGATGGACCTAACCCGACACACATCTTGGTGTGGACACTAACTCTCACACACTTACTCTCACTCACGCCCATGCCTTACCCTTAACCCAAACCTAACCTTATCTCAACCTTTAACCAAGTCTTCACCCTAAAATGTAATGATTTACATTATGGGGACGTGCATTTTGTCTTCAAACGGAATGCGGGTCCCCCCCACAATGGCAATATGTCCCCACATGACAGGTAAAACTGGCACACACACACACACACACACACACACACACACACAAAATCCTACCAGGGGCCACATGAACCAGCAAGTGGCCTCAATCGATTAGTGCTGCCGTGTGTGTGTGAGGACAGAGAGCTATGATAGAAGCAATGTGATATCCTGGTATTATTTGTCAATTTGCCGTGGACCCGATTAAAGTAACGGAAGATAGGATCATGTCTGAGAACACCCACAATGCATTTGGTGCAGAGCTCCGATTACACTTCAATCAGAGAACAGTGTGGTGTCAAATCGTGTCGATTTCCCACCGCGACATGGGTGTAAGCTCAATATGTGAAAAATTGAGAGATGATTGCACACACATTGCCAAAAGCACTGCATTTGATGCGAGGTGTGAGAAAACTCAACAAACAGCTGTTTGCACACGCCCAGTTTGTTTACAATCAAACACTCCGTAAACAAAAGCCTGTGACTGCGATCAGCTCGGGCCTTTTATAGGTTGGAATTCAATAGCACACAGAAGTGATCCGCATTTACACAAATCTAATTGGCTTGGATTTTGAGTCTCCAAAACATCCACCACAACAAATACAGACTTTTAGTCTCCAAATAAATCACTCATTTTACTGATAGAAGGTATTATAGCGCTCGGTGCATGAAGGATGTTTTTCCCCTGGTATTACAGAACAAAGAACATAACAATTCAATCGGCAAAGCACCACAATGAGGAAAGGTGTCACTTCACACACAGCCGGGATTTATTTGCAAAATGTGGAGGAAAAAAAAGGATGTCATCCTCTGAACTGCACGTCCATGAGTAATAACACAGGAAGGAAGGCAAGAGGTTTGTTCTCGTCTCCAAAATATAAAAAATAGTTTGCATGGGCTTAGGATCTTGCGATCGGTTAGCGCGCTTTTCCATACTGTAGCAACAACATAAACAAATGCCACATTGATGGTGACGCGAGTGTATTCTAGTACGGAGCGACATTATTTATGTGAAAGCTGAGAGGAGGAGGCGGGTGGGGGGTGGAGAGAGGGGGCAATCGCACGGGGGCACGGTACGAATCAATCGTACCCAATATGAAAACGTCGTCACAGAAGAAGAGTGTGACAAACGGCTAAAGAGACAAAGGATGAGCAAGGTGTGAGGTAAAGCACAATCATCCTCCTCCTCGTTTCACACGTCCACATCCGCAAAACACTTCCACATAAGCACACATGCAAAGACACAAACCATACTTTATACCCCTGCCTACCCACATTCAAGTCTGTCTTTGACCTCCTAACACACACCATAATAAAAATCTACGAGGGAAACGGAAGTACAGGGAGGGACGAGGCCAAAGCCACAAAGTGGGATGAAGTGATGGAGAGAAGGGCGGCTGTGCAGATGGACGCTGGAAGCAGGGCGGTTCGCGTGACTGTAAGACTGGGAAAGATATAGTGTGTGTGGGAAGAAGACACGTGATGGAGAGGGGAAGGAAAGACACACACACACAATGTACACAGAGGTAATGCAACCAGAGTTCAGTAACTTCAACCACAAACATGCCACCACGTCCATTTTGGCGTTTCGACACAGGCATACGAACGCAATTTCTATAACACAATATGGAAATTCAAAATGTCCACGTTCAATTTGTTCTATAAGCCAAATATCTGAAAGTTACAATAATAAAAGTTGAAACAACTTCCAGCCAGAAGCAGGGAATATCCTCAGAGATCCTTCTTCTTGCTCTTCTAACATGCTCAAAAAGCTTTCAGCTTTCACAAAACTCGTTCTTTTTATAACACCAATATATTAAGTAACTTCATATTAATAAGAATGTCCTAACGCACAGCAACACTTTTGCATAGACTTTACTGTGGTCATGCGGGAACACCTGTACGTGTGCACGGCTGTGTAACTGTTACAATGCTAATATGCGGTTCAAATGTGCAGCCACCCGAACCCGTCTCACCATCCTGTGAATTTAATGGTGTGCAATTTAATTGCACAAATGGGGCAGCCATAGAGACTAAGCTGAGCCGTGAACACTTTCTAAAATAGTAAGCAGAGATGTGGAGCTCTCTCCATAAAAGTCTCTTTGGTAAGCTAAACTCTGGAGAGTTTTATTGCTCCAGCCTTAGATAAATAGGATCCTATTTAAGTGCTGAAAGAAAAAAAAAAAAAAAAAAAGCGAGTGAGTGGGAACTGACACAGAAAACAGACAGTTTGACAACAGGAATAAAGCACAAGCGACTGTGCAAAAGAATGAGGGACAGAGACAGATGAGCTAATAAAGCATTGTGCTCACTGCATCCTGTCTAGACAGTCAGCCAGAGCCTCTTTAGAGGGCCTCAGGTTTCCCTTGGACGATCCTCTGTTATCTGTTACCTATTAACTAACATGGGAGATGTGCTGGGGGGGGGGGGGGGGGG